GTACTATTTTTTGTAACAAGAAGTTATACACTTTTTAATTAAGATGGTCACACTAATTAAAGTACCTCCTTTTAAAATTGTAATAAGAAAAACATGAAAAAACAAAAAAGTTGTAAGAAGAAACATGGATATTTTAAAATTTATGATGGTTGATCTAGACACCTCTCTGAATATTCATTTGCATTGTTATTTATTCTATTTGGAAGTGGCCCATTACTGTGTTTGCATGATAAAAGTGAAGCATAAAAAGGTTAAACAACATGCACAAAGTCATACAATTACAAACTGATGAGTGTCAACATTTCTCAATCAGGAATTCATAAATGGGAGATAAGCATCCTACTATTTCACAAATTCTTCCATCTGAACTGCCTGTCCTCCTTACAGCACTTACAGAATACTTGACATCACTTCTCTGCTCCTGCTGATCTTGAAGTACGTATTTTTCATGAAACTTGCTGCAGCCATCTTGGTTCTCATACATATTTGAATTCCTGGGTACTTTGATCATACCAACACTATTTGATTATTTGCTAATATTGTCTTCCAACTGTTGTGCATAATACTTACCTCTCAGGCATATTATGAGAACTAATTTTTAAATGTAGCTATGACCAAAGCCTTGGGTATATATTAGGCATATAATAAATTTCTTGTTGATTGATGGACAGAAAGATAATGATTGATGTTGGATGAGAAAAGCTTATAAAATTGGTGAGAAGAGAAGATGAAGAAGAGGTCATATGAATACTTTTCTTTTGTTAGATTTAAAAAGAGTAAATCTAAATAAATTTTTTAAAAAAATATCATGCCCATTTTTCAGAGGATATAACTTAAAAAAAATATTTTGGAGAAATACTCCTTCCTGAAAAATATAGTTGAGAACCATTGCAATAAACAAGCCTAGGCTTTCCCTAATGTGGAGGAGGGGCCTGACCATGATATTTCTTATTTCCAACATAAGGATTCTTTGATATAGTTCCAAAACTATAAATTTGACATTGTTATTATGAGGAAAATTAATATCCCTAAATTCTCTATTAGAACTTAGACTTTAATAAAATAACTGATCTCCATATTCCAGATCTAAGAAAAATATACATAATAAATCTTACATACTGAAAAATACAAAGAAAACTTTTTTTTGTAAAGAACAAAGAGATCTTGGAGTTGAATTGTACAAATATTATTTGCTGTAGGCCATCTAATAGTGTACTGTAGCTATAAATTACTTGCAACTAAAGTATATGGTAATTCCATAAAGCTGCCATACTAGACTTCCAAAGAATACATCTAGAAGGGAAAAGTCAAATGTGCTTCACCCACAACAAGCTATAAAACTATTGGAAAAAAAAACAATGTTGTTGGTTTCTTTTCTTTATGGTTGTTGATGCATTTTCACAATGGGTTCTGTTAGGGGTTCAGTTGTGCCCTTCAAAATATTTTGTTGAAATGCTACCCTCCAGTGCCTCAGAATGTGACTGTATTAGGAGACAGGGTCTTTAAATAGGTGATAAAATTAAATGAGATTATTAGGGGGTCCCTAGTCCCAGATGACTGGTGTCCTCACAAGGAGAGGGAGATTAGGACACAGGCATACACAGAGGTAAGACTTCATGAAGACACAGAGAGAAGGTGGCCATCTGTAAGCTACGAAGAGAGACCTCAGAAGAGATCCAATCCTGTTGACACCTAAATGCTGTACTCCTAGCCTCCAGAATTGTGAAAAAATTAATTTCAGTTGTTTGAGCTCGGTGGTCTGTAGTGTTTTGTCATAGCAGTTCTAGCAAATGATTACAAGCACTTTTATATCTCCCCTTGTGGTCATGAGTAAGGCCTTTTGGTTTTGCAGTGACCATTCTCTTGCTTACCCGCTGGTCAAAACCCCACACTGCCTAGATGATGATTTGGGATTTGATTTTGAGAACCATGATAAAGTACCAATTTGAATCATATTAGAAAGTTTCCATGAGGACATTTACAGGTATTAGAAGGAAGAGAAGCATGGCAGCTCTGAACAATGATGAGCAAGCAGATGAAGTTAGGAATGAGACTTCCTCAGTGCTCCAAATGCATCCTTGAAATTGAATCCATCCTTGTCTGGAGCCGCTCTAAGGAAAGGAACCTATTATCACTTGTGCAATGACAGATGCTGTTCTCAATTTTGAAATAGAGCACTGCTTCTTCCTAGCCATATGCCTCATTTTCTCAGGTATGCATCATTTTCTATATCAAAAAGTAGGGTTAATATAATGCCTGCTTTCTTAGAGTTAGCTTGAAGATCACCCATGCATTTGGCTGAGAGAAAGCAATCCATAAAGGTTAGCTATTATTCCTATCATTAATAGTAGGTAGTAGTTTTGCACATGTTTTATCTTTAATGTGATCTTTCCTGCCTTGTTTGTATTGTTTTCTTATGTATTTTGTCTCAGATTCCCGATTAAGAAATGTTAAGACACGGGATTAGTACAACCCCAAACATAGAGATTTAGTTAATATAAAATGACTTTTTTTCTAAATTATTATCATTATTGCATTGGCTGAGGGTGTGATCCCAAGTCCAGGGATGGAGTCCCGCATCGGACTCCATGCGGGGAGCCTGCTTCTCCCCCGTCTATGTCTCTGCCTCTCTCTCTGTGTCTCTCATGAATAAATGAATTTTAGAAATCTTAGAAAAAATAAATTGCATTTCCCTGATGATTAGTGTTATTGAGTATCCCTTCATGTATCTGTTGGCCATCTGAATCAGTCTAGGGTGAATATATGGCAAGTCAGAAAAATTATATTCCAATCAAAGATGGTATGGATATGAATTAACTATAAATTCAAATTATGGATAGATAATGTATATCATCTATATTGGCAGTCACACATTCCATTAGAAGTCACCTTTATTTCATATTGCATATTGAGAATTTACAAATGGCTGATGCTTCAGCATTGTGGAAATACTCAACAATTTGGGAGAATTTTGACATTTAGTTTAAAAATGTGCTTACCATTATAAATATGCACTGGAAATAATTTCATGAGCATGCTATGATTCAAAGTTTTGATAAGAAACTCAGGATGATTTTATTATTATTTCATTTGCTCAAGTACTAAGATGCATGTGGATTTATTTACAGTAGCAATTTTTCATTTATTTGCATAATTATTAATACATTCTAGATCACTAAAAATGTTCCACTTAGAATAAATATATAGTATGACTTTTGGTTTTGCATCACTGAAAATACCTGCTGATGGGGTGAATTTGTTTAAATATCAATCGATTATACTTATGCAATTATTTTTATCATATACTAGAGTGAAAACAAGTTTTTATTTTAGAAGACATGAGAATGAATGTTACATCATAATCTATAAACACTTAAGAAGCCCAAAATGATGAAAGCTTATGAAATATGCCATGATATTGACAAGACGAGAATATTTGCACTGGACATCATGGCAAGTCACATTTTTTCATGAATGAACATTTTCTTTTAAGAATACTTAAAAATACAAAAAAAGAATACTTAATAAATACAGAAATGCAGGCATAGTCAACTTACTGTGGTTATATAGGAAATAAAGGAAAAGGATGAAATAAAGAGATCAAAACAAAAAAAGCCATCATATTACAGGGAGAAGAATTTGTTAAATTTAGCTCATGTACCAACTCCTCACTCAATAGTCACTAGGTGCTTTACATGCTGTAAATTATGGAGTTGCCTAAAGCAATTTTAAAGGGGTATTAAAAAAATGAAAAGAGAGAAAGAGAGAGAAGGGAGAAGGAAAAGGAGGAAAAAAAGACCACAATAACAATCTTCTCCATCACATGCAGAGTCTCTCTGAATTTACCAGTTAGGGAAATACTGTAGCTAAAGGCTCCAATTAAATACACTTGAAAGATTCACTTTTCACTTACAAAGCTAGAGAACAGGACCTCACATTACTTAGTGGAACTTAGTCCTTGAACATTAGCACAAAGTTCAACATTCCCAGCAGCTTTCTGCGGCTGTTCTTGACAGCTACCTGCATCCTACTCTTCTCTCTGGGCAAGGCATCCTGGATTTACACTTACTGGATGTCTTTTACAGATTGCCAAGACAGTGAATGTGCACCACTCCCTCCCTCCCACCTACCAGAGTACGGGGCATAGGGAAGGCCACTTCACATGGCTATGGAAACCTCAAAAGAAAGCTCCCAATAAGGCAGACATCAACAATGCTCAAAGTAGCTTGACATTTCATGGAAGCCATTCTTCCCATGGGTGACAAAAGCACCTTAATCACTGTGACTTTAATGGTATCATCAAAATAACTAGGTATTAAATAAGCCTAGAAGAGGAACAATGGGGGGAAATATTCACATTAACCAGGACAACCAAATCTAATGACACATTCAATCAATGTAAACACAGTTCTTTAATAACTCTGAAATTTTGCCTACATTCTCAAATGTGGAATAGGATGAATAAGTACCTTTCTCGGATTGTCCTCAGAAATGCTGCTTTCTTCATTGCAATTTGGGCCACGAAAATTGGGGGGAAGAGAGAGACAGTGCAGGAATTGTTTGAATTTTGGCTATAACCATAAATGGGCTCTTCACAATTTTCAGTGAAGGTGTTGAACAGGATGGATGGAGGCACAGGTTTGGACAACTTACATGTGTGGGGATCCAATCACAGAGCATGCAATTTAGGGCCAGAAGAAGAGTCTTTAGAAGCCATTTGGTTCAGCCCTTCACTTTTGATGCTCAAGAGATTTTGAGATTCAAGAAATGAACCAACTTCCCCAAAATGACATGATGACCTCCTGAGACAGAGAGGTTGAGGGCTCAGATTTCTTGTAACATCCTTGAGTTCTTGAAAATTATGACACAACTTGCCAGGGGTTACTGGTGTATGCTGATCATATTTGGAACATTTCTTTAAGATAGGAAATGAAATAGAAATATACCCAATGCCTGCACTCCAATCCTCAGTTCCAAAGAAAACAAATGACTTTACTCACCTGCAGGGAAAAACTCGCTCATTTTTTTTTTGTAGATTTTGAAGTCAACTTCTAAGAAGACACAGAAGATGATCCGATCCACCTAGAGGCAAACAATAAATACTCAAAGTGAAAGGAAATATGATGACCCCAGAATATGAGAAATATTCTAGAACATGGTTTTGGAGCAAGAAACAAAACTTGTAGATTTTTGGTACTATATTGCTAACTATATGACAATAAGCATATAGTTAACTTCACTTGAGTGAAGTTCAAGTGACTTGGTGTGTGTGCACTCTTTATGTAAATAAGCCTATGGGCTCTTTGGTGGAAAGATGTTATATAAATCAAATAAGAAATAATAAATGACAATAAGCCACTTTGCAGCAAGCTATAACTAAGATTGGGAGATTCCGACAGGATACCTAGACTTTATGTCCTATAAAACAACCATATGAGAGGCGTAGAGCAGAATGACAATAAACTATGTCAGTAAACAAAGAGCTCTTTGTCCTATCCTTCTTAGACGAATAAATTTAATCAAACCTGTTAGTATTTGAATATGGCCTAAAAAGCTTCTTGCAGTTTAATTTGCATCAAAATCACTTGCTTGTAGCTTAACATACTCAGAAATGCAACAGACATAAAATATAATTAGTTGACAGTGACATGAGGTCAGTATAACTTTAATCTCGTAGATATTATTGAATAAATGTTACCTCAAAAGTAAAAGATGTGTGTAGTCCCCTTTTCCTGTTTTGAGAGGGCTTCTCTATGTAAGGTGTTTCTTTAAGACATTCAGATACAGTATGGTAAATAGAGAAGAGAGATGGAGTACATCTGATAGCTCACGCATATCTCATATTAAATCAGTGACTCAATTACATGTCTTGAAAATAAACTTCCTTTTAGTTCCTTTATTTTAACAATCTATCAAAAGTTAAAAATTACTCGATCTATCAAACTGCAACTGGCAACTGACTAGAACATCAAATGTGGCATTTCTCATGGCAATAGGGAGTAAAGTGGGGAGTGCATGTGGCAGGACGTGGACCAACCCAAATGGATGTCATCTGCTTAGCCTTTCAGCTCTCCCAAGCCTGTGGGATACAGATTCACACTAGGCAAGTTCAAAGTACCCAGCAGGAGAGAAAATCTACAGGGGGGGGGGGGGGCAGGGACGGCTCGGATTCAAAGGATGTTCAGCTTCCCTGTTGGAAGCTCAGAGACGTGGCTTCCTGATCCCTGCACACGTCCAGATAGGCTGCCTCCTGGGCCGTCGCTGGGCATCGATGATATAATCACCAAATACCGTGCAGCCCCAGTAATCCTCCCCCCACAGGATGGATTATAAGAGAAAGCATCTGGCCTTCGGAAATGGAAGGACTGGGTTGCAAATAAACCTTATTTTCTTTTCTCTGTGTTCATTTGAGTTTCTGGTGTCCAGTGCTGTCTGCATATCATTAACATTTTCAGCAAATGCAAAAACTGTCACCATCAACTCACTCTTCGGGTGAAATATAAATTTAGTTGAATAAATGATTAGGTATCGGTGCATTACTGAATGCTCGTCTCTGCTCTCCTTATGGTGTGTTTATGGCCTGTAGCTAAAGATAAAAATCGTAATGTTGAGCACTAGAAAAGAGTTACAAAAAACATATTCTCTATGATACGGTTTAAACAAATTTTTAAAGCACAAAGATATAATGAAAGTGTAGAATCCATTCATAAGCACTGATATTCAGAAACATAACTAGAAATGTCACACATGAACTCCAGAAAAAAAAAAAAAAAGATTTTAGAGAAATGTGGCAGAATGGGTAAAAGCTATTAACTATGGGGGTAGGTGCCTAAATATCATAATATTTTCTATGGTTTTCTACATATTTGAAAAACTATAATTTAAAATTCTAACACGAAAAATAAGGTCTGTGTTAGACATACTCTACTCTCTGGCTGTATTAAACTATTTGTAATTCCTAACACCATAATTATTCTTACTTCTGTACCTATGATGTCTGACTTCTTCTCCAGGCTTCAAAATGGTCAGATTGTTTCTAAAGTCACCTGAGATCAAAACCAAAACAAGAAAAAAAAAAAAAAACAAGAAAAAAAAAAAACAAAACAAAACAAGAAAATTTTATTCAAAGCAGGTCTAAGGGGACCAAACTGGACAGTCTCATTTCCCCCTATTTTTATGGTCATGCAGTATAAAGCACAGTATTTTATTTTATTTTTAAGATTTTATTTATTTATTCATGAGACACACAGAGAGAGAGAGAGAGAGGCAGAGACACAGGCAGAGGGAGAAGCAGGCTCCATGCAGGAAGCCGGATGTGGGACTCAATCCTGGGACTCCAGGATCACGCCCTGAGCCGAAGGCAAATGCTCAACCGCTGAGCCACCCAGGGATCCCTAAATTACATATTTTAAAAAATACCCCTGTTGCCTGTAAGTGTGTTTGCATGGGGGAGGGTTAGTGGTAGAAATGCTACTCATTGCTGTTAAATGAACTTTTAACCACCATAGAAACTAAATACAGATTTCTTAAATATTGCAAAGAAGTATAATCCACCTTTTGGCATTTTCAGCTTTGTTACCATGGAAATGGTATGAGTCCAAAATTTAGCAGTCCGATTTATTTTCCCGGAGAGTAGATGGCTGATGGGGGAAAAGTACTTTTATTTTAAACTAATTGAGCGGCCCATTTCCCTGCCTGACCCTGGGGCTTAACACTGAAAATATCTTGGAAGCAAGTTGAATCCAAGAATTAACCCTCATTTGCCAAGTACTCGTTATGTATGCACGTGTGAATGTATTCATATATGTCTGCATAAACTTATTCTCTGGGGTTATTGGTGGAAAAGAGCTCCATTAGTCAGCAATCTTTGTGTTTATAAACTCATAGAGGATATTGATCACTGCCTGTGGTAGATTGTATTTTCCAAGCTGGCATGCAATGAGATACCCCATCCCTCAGACTCTCTTAAAATGTAATGTTGATACTTCTGTCATCAAGAAGTGGGATCTCTATTTCCTTCTCTTAAATCTAGGATTGCCGGTAACTCTGGCAGGAATACTATGTGGTTTTCAAGTCCATGTCATAAGAGGTGATACAATTTCTGTCTGGTCTTTTTGGGGTGTACCCAACCTCCATCCCATGAGGAAGCAGATAGACCACATCGAGAATCCATTTGTTCAAGTTATAGCCGATAGCCTAGCTGAAAGTGAGTAGCCTCGTGATGATTTCACCTCCTGGTTTTTGAGCTACCCCAGGTGATGCCACATGGAACAGAAATCAGCTGTTCCTACTGAACTCTGCCCAAATTGCAGATTCGTGAACAAAACAGAAACACATAGCCAGAAATCTGATATTCTTCTGGTTTCTTCCTGTTGCCAGTTGTTTGGATTCTCACTTTTCTGGTACATGAGCCCTCTTGAAAGGCTCAAACTGAATGGATCAAGATCAAGTAGAAGACACAATGGAGTGACAAGAACACAGAAAGTCTAATTGCCACATGGCTGAGGAATTGGAAATCTGATTTATGCAAAGGAGAAAGAGTCTGGTTATTCATTCTAGCCCCAAATAAATTACCTGAGGATACATAAGAATGACCCACTATTGCAGCTCAGGAGCATATTTTCAATTTTTCTTTTATGTTAGGCAATAGGATAATTTTGTAAGATGGTTGTTCTTGAGAGGCTATATTTATTCATTTATGTAACAGATATTAACTGAGCCCCTCCAATTTCATGGGCCTTGCCCATGTGCCATTCTCTCACAAGAAAAATTGAATCCAGAATGAGTGCTTTTTTTTTTCTCAAGGCCAAACAATTAGTAACAAAATCTCAGATATCTTAACCTCACATGCAGTGTTCTGTGATATCACACAGATGGAGACACATGGGACTGAGTTTCTAGGCCTGTCACTAGCTCTTTATCATTGGACAAGCCACTGTCTCTCTGGGATCCAGCTTTCATGTTTCTATAGAGAAGGATTGAACTGAATTATAGTATGTCCATAGTTTCTTTCTCTCTTTTTAATATCCCAGCAATTGTCTATCTCTGTGGTGAGTTTGTACTATGTCAGTTTATCTAAGCTGGAATAACACTTCTCTGAAAGGTTTTGTGTCAGGGTTGGCCACAGAGAAATTTCCATGAGATTTTGAGGGCAGAAGTGCAGCTGCAGCCATTGTACTAGGCAGGTGGATGTAGGATTCTGGCCAGGTGGGGTACATCATCTGCTCATCAGCTGGGTGCTCATCAGCTGGGTGAGGGGTAGCAGCTGGGCTCACAGCTTCTCCAGCTGCTGCTCTTCCTCCTATCTCAGGTTCTCTGAGTCTAGGCTGGACACACATGCAGCTCTGCTTCAAAGGCACTGGCTCCTTCTGTAGGGCATTGTACCTTAGGGTTCCATGCAGGCGGAGACAGATGCATATGACAGTTAGTCCATGTGGGTTCCAGTTTGCTCTCACAGTTTCCTCTTTCTCCCTGTTCTCCCCAACTTTGCTTCTACCTTTCTCTTTGCCACCTCTGGACCACCTGCCCTGCTGACATACTCCAGACTTTGAAGATGCACAGGCAATGGCCTTCCATATACTCCCTCACCAGCTCCCTCTCATGGGTCCTGATTAAGGGTTTTTCTTTACTCGGTGTCGACTATCCCCTTGACATTTACTTCCCCAGTTTCTCCCACAATTGTATAAGATCTAATCCCTATAATCCATCCTGTATTCCATATCACTCACAAGGTTCTGCATCTTTGGTTAAACCCCAACTGATGTAATTTTTAACAAAATTTCACTGAATGACAAGCACAGGAACACAATGAAGGGAAAAAAATAACAGGTGTTCCTTTTTGGAGGTGTACAACCTGTCAAGGCTACTCAAAGTCCAATTACTTCCTTCCAGACGAATTTCTATTTGCTCTAGCCCAATTTCCTGGTGAACTTCCTAAAGTGTACATATACACTTTTACAGTTAAAGCAACTCCGTGTACTTTTTTTTTTTTTTACTAACAAGTTGTTAGTAAACTCAAATGGGTCCTCAGGCCAAAACATAATTACAAATAATACAAAAGGTGACATTAATATTTTTAGTAT